CGGCCAAGGGGCGAGACCCAATTCCTAGCCAAGGGTGCACGCGATCACGCCGCCGTGAGACGGCGTGGACTCAGCCTTGTCGCGAATACTATCACCTGCACCCCTACTCCTTTCTTTGGGAAATTACAAAAACTGCTCATTTGACGCCAAATTCTTACAGTCTCTGACGCTGGCCTCCTGTACTAGACCGAAAGGTCAGACCAGTACGTCTGCTGTCCCAGTGGTCCCGCGTTCATCTTTTTAGGGAAAGATTTTTTAGAGAGCTGGTGGTTTTTCGCGCCCACAACTGATTCGAAGCGATTATTTCATTGTTCTATTCCGCGTTTTTCGCGGAATTCAGAGCGAAGGTTCAGCTTGTACGTGTTTGTGCATATCTTCATTGATAATCTACTAAAGCATGTCCTAAGGACGCATTCCTTGTCCAAAGCCATGTCTTATCTTGTAAACAAAGATAAAATTGCTCTTTCGCTGTCTGGAACACAGATGAATCACTGTTTTAGACCCTTCACTAGCTTTTTTGCCCGACGTTGAACTTTCTTTGGCCATATTCTTTGTCGTTCATAACGTTGGCGTTTGCGTATATGCCACATTTTAGGTAAGGGTGAACGAAGACGCCATAAACTTTCTCAAAATGTCTTCACTGAATATTGCAAACGTCGTGGTGTTTTTTGCAGCGTTTGCACACTGCACCTAATGGTTTCAGCTTGCTCTGTAGCTTAACACTGAGATGCTTCCGCGAGTGTTCGGTGTTAAGTTGAATTCCTTTTGGGCAATATGCCCTCATGTTGTCACCCCGATGGAAGTTGATTGGACGCCAGTGGAGGACGACGCATTTTTGCCCGCTGAAATCAAAAAACTTTCGCTCAGGCCAGGTCTGTAACCGGCACACACACCTCCTTCGTACCTTTAACATTTTTGGCTACTAAGCCAGAAATGGCCATTCCAGTCTCTCTTGTCTTTGTCGGCAATAGCACTCTGCCTTTATCATGCGCTGCTGTGCGGCTGCTGGTTGGAGTCGAGGGAAAGCGCATAACAGGACGAGTAAGTTCCGTGAGAACGATTAATGAACCCCCCCCCTCTACCATTGTACCTTCCCGATCGAAACCGACAGGACAAGGAACGCGTGGCTCAGTGGTTATAGGCGTTGGACTTCTAACTAACAGGTTGCAGGATCGACCTCTAGGTGTTCCAGACTTCGGGGTTGGGTATGACTGGCTGAGGACGGCTAATCAGCCAGAAATGATCATTTCAGTCTCCCTTGTCTTTGTCGGTAATACCATTCTGCCCGATGTTAAATTTTCTAGCTGTCTCCTATAAGGTAGGCATTTTATACCGCTGACCAGTTTTTTTTTACTCTTTTTCGTACGTTCTCCAAATGAGTTATACGTTTTTTATGCAGGGGTCCAACGCCAAAATACAACAATCTGGCATTGAGCAACTAAATGTTCTAAACATCAGCCCAAAAGTTAGGGATGCTTTCCTGGTATCTTTTGTGACCTCATCTGGTTCTCCTATATGGTGAGACGACCGCTTGAATCATCCACACACCGAAGCTTTATTATTTGCTTACTGTGTCGATTTGATTACCTTTGACGAAGTGACCAAATTCGAATTACATCGCTATCCTGTTGTAGGATCGAATTCGACTAACGCATTTTGTTGAAATTAGGATTAAAGAACCATTTGACAAACTATTGTTAATTGATCAAAATTTCTTTGTATTTTTAACCTACCATTTGGCTATTCTTTTGTCTTTTACAGCTTGAACTTATCAGCAAATGTACTTTCTTACGGTCTATAAGAACTAGGTAGTCATTCGCATGCATTAAAAACAGAATGAGGCACAGAACCCCAGTCTGAATGGTTGACCATTCCAATATGGCATTACCAACACAAGCATGTTGAGTTCTGCGTGTGAGCAAGACGGTCATCCATATGAGTAGCTACCCAGTCGTACCCATTTACTGCAGTACAATTTATGCTGACTGCATCGATTGGTGGACCCATTTCGTCCAGCTTGTCATGGATGTGGGCAGCTTAATGAGACAGAATCATCCGCTTTTATAATCGTGCCTATGCGCACGAAACAAGTCGTTTTATTTTAGATGTCTCATTAGTTCCGCTTTTATCATTCTCTTCCATCCAGTCAGAGCAAACACTTGTGAGACTCATTGATCTGAAGCTATTTTATGAGGTTCCCTCACCACCATTACATCTGGGACTTATGTTAACTTGCCTCAAGTCACCAGACAAATCTCCTCTTCCCTCGAATTGTCGAAGATCTTGGGGAACGTTAAAGCCATTTGGTTTGCCAGCGTACTCAAACTTTGAGGGGGGTGGGGTGCCGACCCGGCCGGGCGGTCTTATGGGTTGTAGTTGTCCCAACTGTTTTAAATGCGTCCGTTGTGAAGGTCACCGTGTTCATTTTATTGATAGATACAGAAAGCAGGCTTCTCGGTATGGTCAGACATTAATAAATCAGACGAGGAGTGTCTTGTCCAAGTTATCAGATAAATTGTTTCCCTTCCAATCTTTCAGACACGTTTGGGCTTATCCATACTACCAAGGACCCTGTTAGATTGTTCAATAGTCTGTCTGGCTATGTTTGACTTAAATGCTTTACGTTTTGAAATCATGTAAATGCTCGAGAGTTTTGGATGCGGAAAAGTGACTATACTCTCAAGGAAGAACACAATGTCCACTTCGGTTAGGGGACGTGTGGGAACCCAACCCAAGAATACAGCTACCGTCGGGCAGCTTGATCGTTGTTGTTGCAGAAGTGCTTGTCCATTTTCGACTGTTGGGTAAGGAACTCGTCAGTGATTAGATTTCTGTTCAAAGGGGTTTCCTGATCTCCTGCACTGTATCAATCCCTTTATGTTAACGAGTGGCATCGATATTGGACATGTGCTGGTGGGGTAGCAGTACTTTAAATTCCTTACTTTAAGTACCTTGATCAGGCACCTTCTCAGAGGACTTTTACTTGGAGGAAAAGTGAAAGCGAATATGCTACTCCCGTTTTAACAGGTTCATTTCAAGTCAAGACAGTTTATGGAAAATGTGTTTGAGATTTTGAACTTCTTCCGGACCAATTTTCCATATTCTCTGATGCATAAAATCATTGATGACATTCCATATGTTGGTCTAGTTGCACTCGGATAAAAAGAAAACATATTTCTTGCAGAACGTACGACTTAATTCTTGAAGCCGCATTACCGACAAGATGTATAGAGTTAGCGCCCGTATACCTGATGCTTGGGACATGCGTGAATTAACTTTTTAGTTGGGTCGGCCATTAACAGTATAAAAACAATAAGGAAAAGACATACTTCACTGTAGAAGTTCATAACCGAAGGCTGCAATAACAGTGTCTCACATCATACTCCTGTTTCGCATACGTCGTTTGTAACGTAAAAAATGTGTGGTGTACAGAAAACGTTTCTGGGCTGAAATAGTTCAAACAAGTCCACATTCGTAGGACAACACGGGAGCGACTTACGGGGAATGAGCTCGACCTCTGTTCGCTCTTGGTCATTTCGCAACATGAATAAGTCGAACTTCTTTTTAAAGCTTTGTATAGATGGTGACACCACAACATCTGCAGGAAGGACACTCCATGGTTTGACCACTCAAACAGAGAAGGAGAACTTCCGCACATCCAGCCTTGCCTGTTGAGTGCGCAGTTAAAACGGGTGACCTCGGAGGTTGGTCGTGGTATGGAGCTTTGACCCCTAACCATCTTTGTAGCTGTCCTCTGAACTCTTTCGAGGCAATTTTGATCTTCAGGCGCCCGCAGTCTCCAGGCTTATATGTCGTATTTCAAGCGCGGCCGCACAAATGTTCCGAAAGTATTTGAAAAAGCATCTTCGTTAAGATCCATGAATGCACGCTTGATGCGTACAGTACGGACGTTGCGATTTTTCCCACTCTCAAACAATGGGCGGATGGTTTTAGGGAACTCGTCATCAGTACACCGAGGTCATTTTGGACTTCGACCTCTTGTAGGGCTGTAACGCCCAGAAAGTAGTCTCTTGTGCTGGCGGATCTGGCTGTATTGCCTAGGCGAAGTATGCTACATTTGCTAACGTTATACCGCAGGAGACAGCGGTTTGACCACCATGCCAACGCTTTATGTTCATCTACAGTCTGTCTTGGTCGGCAAGGTAGCGAATTACATTCCATATCTTCATGTCATCGGCAAACATTGCTGCTTTGCACTCCAAATCTCTTGCGCAATCGTCCACGTATATAAGGAACAAAATGGGTCCTAGTAGTGAACCCTGGGGAACACCATTCTCGACCACAGCAGGATCTGATTTCCCTTGGCCGATGCACACAACATGGCTTCGACCCACAAGGAAGTTTTTGATCTATCTGAGGAAGTTGCCGTTAGTTTGTGTAAGAGTCTCTGGTGTGGCACAGTGTCGAACGCATCCTGGAGGTCAATGAAAGTTATGTGGTCCGCGTTCCTTTCGTCGAGAGCTCGAGTCCAGCTCTGGTGAGATTACAGCAAGTTTGTTGCGCAGAATCTTCCTTTTGGGAACTCATGTTGGCATTTTGATAGCAGGCCATAAACTGCCAGGGAATGCATCAATTTACTCTTTTTGGTCCTCTCCGTAACTTTGCAGAGAATGCATGTCAAGCTTATGGGCCTGGAGTTTGTCGTCGCTGCACTGCTACCTCCTTCGTATAGCGGAGCAAGGAAGTGTCCCAATGTCAAAAGATGTTTGAAAGAGCTTCGACAAAGGCACAGAAAGCTCACTGGCAAGTTCGTTGAGAAGCTTGGGTGGAATCTCGTCTGGTCCTGGCGGCTTCGATTCGTTCAGTGCCCCAACACCTTCTAAGAAGAGTATACTGTTTATGCTTTTGGTCGCTGGTTGGAAAAACTGTGAATAATACGCAGCTTTGTCCCTACTCTCAGCCATCTCAATGCCATCAGTACTCCTTATTAAGGGGTTTTAATGTCTGCTCCTTGTACTTCGTCGGCGTAGCTATAGAGTAATTTTGGGTTTTGCGTTGCTTTCGTAGCAAATTCTTCTCGAATTCCCGCCGCGTTTTTAAAATCAAGCTTCTCAGTCTGTTTCTCTGTGTCTTGTAGGTGTTGAAATATTCAGCATGCCTAGTGACGTCAAAAATTCTCCACAATTTGTGCTTCCTGCTGATTTCTTCCTTAAGGTTGCCATTTAGCCACCTAGGGCGTTTGTCCAGTCTTACACTAGTCAGCAGGTAATGTTTGTTCATGAGCTGCATAAGGACATTCTTGAACAACTTCCAATCATCGTTGGCATTTCCCGTAAATATTTAACTTCAGTCAAAACCAGATAAGCCTGCCCTCATTTCATTGAAGTCGCTCCGCCAAATGTTGCGTTGTTTTTGGTCTGGAGCTTGTAAAAAAGGAGAATAGCAAATAATCTTGCGTACACACTACATGGTCACTTCGGCCGAGGGATGGCATGGACATAACCTTGTCTATACTCTCTGATGATTTGAAAAGACTAAACCCAGACAGTTAGTCCTTTGTCCTTCACGTGTTCTCGTTGGAAACATTACATGTTTAGTGTGGAGCGCCTTAAGTGTTTTGTTTATCAGACGGTAATCGAATGTCCATTTTTGACCGGACGCTTGAAGCGTGTTCTAGTTTATTCCTGGTGCGTTGCTTATGATGTTAGGTCGACTGGGAAATTTCACCAACTGTTGCAAAAGATGGGTGTCGACGATTTGGTCTGTCCTGGGCGGTTGGTAGACAGCGAGAATACCGAGACATTGGGAGTTAGTAGCCTTGATGGCCAATCAGATAGCTTCCGTGTTGCTGGCAAACTTGGTGGTATTTTCGGACATTGTCAAGTCTTCCTTCATATACACAACTGTGCTACTACCCTGACGATTTTCCCTGTCCCTCCGATAAATGTGGTATCCGGGCAAGGCTATTTCTCTATCGCTAATATTCCCGTACAACCAGGTTTCGGTTACTGCTAAAGCCTCTGCAGATAGTTCGGTAAGGTAGCGTTTTAGCTCAGCGAGTTTTGATATGAGGCCTTGAGCATTTGTACACAAACACCTCAATTTCCCGCCAGTCGAATTTCCGGCTGCATTTGTCATTGCTTTGAGGATTATCGCGTCATTTCGGATGTAATATTCATTGGGCCCTTTCCTTATTTAATGTCCGTTGTTTCGGTCAGAACACAGACACCTAACGGCTTGCTTGTGTTCTTGAACGGCTGGTTTGACTGTGTTAGTTGAGCAGTTGCCGTCGTTCGTAGCATTACCGGCTGGTTCCACTGAAACGACATATTTTCGGAACAGATTTCCCCTTGAAGATAGCCAGATTGTGTTCGCCGCCCTTCAGTCACGATTTTAATTCTGTGACAAGTTCCTGGTGCTTCATCCGTCCCTCTGGAGAGTAGTCCGATTGAAAAAAAACCTGTTTATGTGTATTTCTGAGGTTGGCTTTTTTGGAGTGGATTCACTTGATTTGCTTTTTGTTCTCCAGAATAATTATCAGAGGACGAGCCGGTAGTGCTGCTGTCCTGTCTTCACAAATTTTTCCTGTCCGGAGTGTTTTCATGACCTTTATTTCCATGTTTATTGGTAGTAATTGGTTTATTAGACCATGAAAAGGAGCAAGATCCCCCGAGACACGATCTGCAGGTCCGACTGCATTCGATTCACTCCAGCCCTGGACAACCAGACACCATTGGCGGTCCGTCACTCCGTACTTTGTCTTTGTACTGAATTTACTGTATGAGATTGAGGACGATGAACGAAGTTTTAGCTTGAATGCACACTTTTGCTGTCAACTGACTGTCCCGAGTAACCCATCGAGGCTGGTTGTGACTTCAGGCTCCTGTTATGACGCTTCCCAATCACACCTACGGACGGGTCTCTGTCTTAACATTCAAATACATGCTCTGTAGGGCACTAGAGTGTTTGCGAGCACAAGTTGGTGATCTAACTATATCGTCCCTTGGCAAAAAGAATCCCGTCACTTTCAGCAAGAGGAGATGGCTTCGGCGCCAGGTAATTTTTCGTGGCATCGCTTAAGTCTTCTTGCGTGGAAATCGAGCCTGCCCTTATCGGCGGCTTCATTATCGTTGTTCTGCTGTTACTGACATCCACGGTCGTAGCTATTGAGTTGCAACCCGTGTTTGGAGATGCTTCCGAGACGATATGTTTTGCCTTCTGTGTGTTCTACTCTTCATCTTTCGCACTCTAACACTGGAAAAATTCTGGCCACCGAGGTTCCGTTACATGAGCGTGCCTAAATCGCTCTCAACTGTGCGCGATAGACCAGTGACCACCAATCCTGAAGGACGCAGTGCACTGTGGAAACCGAACGCATGTAAGTTAAATACTGGGACGTCGACACACTGGGATAGATTCCGGAAACAAACCACCAGAGTTTTAAGATTAGAAGTAGGTGTCGATCTCCTTATGGAAAAAATGGCATCACTCCTCAAGCATAACAAAATTAAACCCCGGAACATAATCAAAAGGCATGAAAAAATCAATAAACAGGACCACAGAATCCTCAAGAAACCGGGAAAAGGCAATGGGCTCCACGTTCAGCGAAGCAGAAAGAGGCAATGAAGTCGTTAGACAAATCTTCCGACTCAAAAGAAATAGACGGGAACAAAAGAAAACAGACGGGAATGAAAGCATCTCTCGCGTTTCCCAAAGATTGGCAAATGCGGGGCATACAGAGCTCATCTGTACCAAAATAAGGCAGCGATCGACGACACCAGGAAAAACTGTACACCGTAATCGTATGGATTCACCTAAACGACAAAAGAGCGCTAGCAGCCCTCTTTACGCATGTCCATTGGACTTTAATGCAACAAGCCATGCAAAATGACAAAGCGAATGCGCAAAAGCGGTCATCACGGAATGCCCAACTTGGCGACAGACCTGAACGTTTCCAGTCTAACAACATACCCGCTGGGCGCTAGTCGAACGGACGGAATGTTAGAAGAAGTAGCTACTGTTAAAAGACCCAAGGCGATTTTTGAGAAACAACCACTAAACTCTTCGCTTGATAGTAGTGTGTGCACAATAATTGAAGTAGAACCAAACCCGTGATGCAAACCACCATAAATAGCAGAAAGCCAGATAGCGAGATGGGTTTTTTCCCTGAAAGATCACTTTTTGTTGTGCTCAAGGGAGTCTCTGAGGCTACTGGCGAAACCGCAAAGGAAAGGGTCAAGCAGGACATTCTGGCATTCCAAAATTTGCTAAATGACTTTGAAGAATCCGGTAAAGTGATGAAATACAAAAGATCTTTCGTTTGGGGCTTGTAGTCAGAGGCAACGCAGAGAAGATGCGACCAAGGCCGCTAAAAGTAGTCTTGGGGAACAAGTAGAAGGCAGATCTGGTCTTATGTCGAAAGTCCAGACTACGAAACAACAATCTTGGAGTGTTTTTTCAGGCAGGTTACACTAGCATCAATCGAATTGAAAGGAAAACACTGGTAGCAGAGCTAAAAAGGCGTCAGAACAAGGGAGAAGAGAATCAGAAAATCATAGGCAACAAAATCATCAAAACGGAACGCAGGTTTCTATGGAAACATCCGGAGGAATAGACGGTTACCACGCCAGTCACCGGTTCCATCGAACACTTGTGAGTCTGAAGACAGACAGTGAACCGGTTATTTCGTGCAAAATGGACATCAACAACTGTCGGACGCAAGAACAACAAACAATTTTCAGAGACCCAGAGATCCAAAAAACATGACGACGACGACGACGATGATGATGATGATGATGATGATGATGATGATGATGATGATGATGATGATGATGATGATGATGATGATGATGATGATGATGATGATGATGATGATGATGATGAACACAAACGTACAGAGTCTTCTTAACAGATTAGGTGAAATAAAGCTGGCTGCGGCCCATTTGCAACTTGATTTTATAGCTCTCACAGAGACATGATTGAATGAGCAAATAGCAGACGCGAAAGTCACACTAGACGAATTTCAGCCTATCCTCATGGATCGAGGTGGACGTAGGGGTGAGGGAATCGCGATGTGCACACGGGACGGCATTAGCTACGTCACGGACGGTTCCTCACCAGACGGAAACACTGGCTATGAAATTGAAAGTACCAAACCAACCGAACCTCCATGTTGCTCAGGTATACAGATCCCCAGAGAGCGGAAGCACACAGACGATGAACGGATCACAGAGTTAAAGCAAATCAGCGTAGAAAACACCTAATAATACTTGGAGATTTTAATCCTCCGGACATCGATTTGGAGTCGGTGCACTGAACGGGTTCGGAAAACTCATTCCAACAGAAGCTAATCCAGTTGGTTACTGATGAATTCCTTAATCAACATTCCATAATAAACACCCGATTCTGAAGTGGACAGCAGTCAAGCTGTTTGTGCCCCTTCATTTCCAGGGATGAAAACTGTGTCCTCTAACATGCCCCTGGGCCGAAGCGATCATTGCGTTCTTGTCAGGGAATACAGTCATTTTTCTTTACCCGAGATTCAAGCTGAAAGGAAGATGAATGTATGGAAAGGGGATTACTCCGAAATGAAAGAGCTGCTGACTGAAATGGAATGGAACCCTGCGTATATATTTGACCCAAAGGCCGCTTGGTTTTTTTTAGAACGTGATCTGCTATTTGGTAGAAAACTGTTGCCCGCTCAAAAGGAGATCGTATGCCTCCCGACCAGAGTGGGTGACATCAGAAATAAAAAGAAATCTCAAGAAGAAAAAGGAAACGTGGAAGAGGTATGCCACATGTCAACAGTCCGGACATCTCTCGGAATTTAAGAAACAACGAAATGGGTTTTGGAGTCTCACGAGAAAATAGAGAGCAGCATTTGAGTCAAAAAAGTTTAAGAAATACTAAAAAATCCAAAAGCTTTCTTTGCACACGTGAATATGGCAAAACGTAATCGGGATTCTACTCCTTGTCTCAAGAATAATCAGGGAAGTAAATTAACTGATAACTCAGATAAGACGAAGCTCTTATCCGACTTCTTCATGTCCGTGTATACCAAGGACCCGCTCTTTGATGAGAAAATTTACCGGCAAACTGCCCCACCTGGAAATGCAATTAACACAGTGGCGTTCACAACGAACGCAGTAAGGAAAACTTTGAGATGATTGTAGCACACTAAATCGCCTGGTCCGGATGGTTCATTCGCAAAGGTCCTCTATGAACTCTCAGATCAACTAGCCTCCTTACTCTCCAAGATCTTCGAAAGTTCCATGGAAGCAGGGTCTCTGCCTACTGACTGGAAGCTAGCCAACATCAGTGCCATACACAAAGTGGGAGAAAGAACTTCGCAAATATATTCAGACCAGTGAGTGCCACAAGCATTTGTTGCAAAATAATGGAGAAAATAGAGAAAAGGGAACTGATTCGATATACTGAGGAGAACAGCTTGCTTAGTGAGCATCAACATGGATTTAGGGGTGGTCGATCCTGTCTCACAAACCTGCTCAGGTCCGTGGAAGGCTGGAAGAAATTCCTTGACATGGGTTTGTCAGTAGATGCAGTTTACATTGACTTCAACAAAGCCTTCAGCAGGGTGTCACACAAACGGCTCATATCTATCCTGCGCCATATGGGTGTGACTTGTGTTTGAGCGACTTCGTCGCAGGCCGACGCCAGCGGGTGTGCATTAGTGAAGTCAAATCGGAGTGGGAAACCGTTTTCAGCGGTGTTTCAGAGGAGAGCGTCCTTGGTCCAATTCTGTTCTTGATATAAGTGAATGATTGCTTAGACTGCCTTACCTGCGAGAAGGTAATGTTCGCTGCTGATTTGAAGATGTGAAGTTCGACTTCATGTCCAGAGGACGCGCTAAACTTGCAAACAACTTTTATCGACTGCAATAGTGGTGTGATGAATGGTTTCTCAAACTTAATTTCAGTAAATGTCAATTCATCCGACTAAGGTCTAATTGCAGGAAGGAGTTGGTATCTGAATGTTACTTTCCTCGGTAGTCACGAACCCGAGCTTGTAAATGAGGTAAAGGACTTTGGTGTGTAGATGACGTCCATACTTATGCCCTCGTCTTACTGCGTCAAGATAGCAAAGGAGGCTATGGGCATCCTGGGAGCGATCAGGAGATTCCTCCTTAACATCGACAAAGAGCTTTTCGGTCGAATTTTTGGAACATTTATCCGGTCCATTTTGGAATATGGTATTCAGTCATGGCTGCCCTGGATGAGGGAAGATAGCACTCTTTTGGAGAAGATGTTACGAAGAGTGACTTAGCTAGTCAGTGGGCTGAAGAGCCTACCTTATGAGGAACAGTTAGAAAGGCTTACACTTTTTTCTCTCTTGTAGGCAATGCAGAGAAGACTTGACCATGGGCTTCAAACTTGTCAGAAGAGTAGACCGTGCACTCAAATTGGCCGATTTTTTTTGAACTGGCACAAGCGACAAATCTCCGAGGTCACAGAGTCTCAGATATAAACTGAAAAACCAAAACTGAAGTGCGGACGATTTTTTTCTCCCACTAGGTTATTGACGATTGGAACAAACTACCCGATTCAGTTGTTCTGGCAGAAAGCGTCGAGACTTGTTGGCGTTTTATATGATGGCTATGTACTTGCTTGATAAGAGCTGATAAAATGAAGCCGTATATCTACGTAGACATATGTACGTTTTTTCAGTCTGTGTCTGCAAATATGGTTTTTAAAGGCTATGCCTATCTCACTTATATATACTGAATTATACTGAATTATACTGAAGTAAATCAGCAAACCCCTTTTAGAGTTGTTATACTTTAATTTGGATATATGCGCACCAAACACATGGCTTACTCTCGTTTATCACACTTTTCATGGTAATTACACGTTCGAACAATTTTTGCCCAGACACATGTAAGAAGTCAATAATCATTCATGTCTTCAAGTCTGGATCTCGGTCCGATGTTCATAACTATCGGGACATATACCAAACCGCGTCTCTAGCTAAACTTCTTAAAGGGATAATTTTCAATGAAAATCTTGATTTTTGTCCAGATAGTCAGTTCCGGAGCTCTAATCAGCATGGATTTTTACCTGAAAGATCCTACGAAACGTGCCACTTATCCTTTCTTAATCTAGCCGATTCTTTTCGTAATGAGTAGTTCTTAGGGGTATTTATCTACTTCGGTCTTAGCAAAGTCTTCGACAAGGCGTCACAAACACCTTTTTGGTCATCTTCGAATGCGGCACACTGAAATCCACCAATGCATTGCTGAAGCTGACCCAACCATTTGGTGCCTTAGTGCACCGACGGATGTCCCACGCAACAATAACTACTTCTCGGCATAGAATAACGGGCGCAAACTAGTGACAGGAGGTAATTTATCCGTAATAAGTAGTAGACAATTGCGAAATATGCACACGGCCAGAAGATATATCTGTGATCACACAATAAGAAATGAATTCCTTAGTCAGCGGGCGGTCCATATATTTGTGGAAAAACATTTGTTAAAAAAGCATATGGACGCCATATTATATGGAATAAATAATGATTAAAAACGGTGCCCAACGTATCCTTCTAAACGTAAACTGAAATTTTTGACTTTCAGGCAAAAAATGTTTTGTGGGAGAGCGTTACTAAATCGAGCAGCTACATGGTCCTAAAATAAAATTTGCGGAGAGAACCTCTTTCCTTAGACCGATACGCAAACCGAGATTGTCAGTGACAGACTTCTAACGACCTACAAACGCTCTTTTAAAAGGAAATCGGGAGTACCAATACGCCTGCCGCATAAGGCACAGCAAACGAAAAAGACAGCTCTTGGGTAGAGACAATAAAGTAACATAATTGCGTTATAAAAGAGTTTGGCAGGGCGAGGTGAAGTGGTATTGGATGGAAATTATTCTGTACTAAAATACGGCCGTTGCTCTGTCTTCAGTTCGTCGCTCTTTCTAGTTTGCTCCAACGACTGTGTTGACGACCTGAGATTCAGCGCCGGCGCGTTTGCTGACGATGCTAAACTTAGGACAGCCATTAGATCTGACGTGTACAGGCATGCGTTTCGAGAGAGTCTCAGCAGACACTGCGGCTGGCACCTCGTTGGCTCCTGGATTTTAATGTGGTCAAATGTGTGGTCGAGCAACCCCTCAGAAGAGGGACCAGTGAGGAGGATTATTCCTTCCGATATCTCCTCGATGGGTAGCCCCTTTCACATCTTTCAGCATAGAAATACATCGGCGTCCTAACAACATCCTCACTAAGGCCATCGTATTAGTGTCTAAGGGCAGCCAAACACGCGATACGGGTGTTATTTGCATCGAGGCGAGTATTTATGCAGATCAATAAAGAGCTATTTAGAAAAAACCCACAGGGCCTTCGTTCGGTTTAGTTTAGAGTATGCCGTACATGCCTGGCGACTGTGGTTCGAGAAGGATAATGAACGGCTGGAAAGAATACAGGCGAGGGCGACAAGGGGGGCCAACAAGCTTGGTCATATGCTTTACGAAAACAGACTGACTTAGCTAAATCAGTTTCTTCTCGACTGTAGGCGACTGAACGGCGACCACATATAAACCTACCGGATTGTGAGAAGTCGTGAGTGTGCTCTAGACATTGACTGCTTTTTCGAATTGGCTGGGACGGGCGGTCTGCGTGGTCGTCCATTACAATTACAAAGGAAGTTGGTCCATACAGACGTCCGACGGAGCGTCTTCTCGCAGAGAGTCATTCGCAACTGGAATGAACTCCCTAAGGGGAGGATTCGTTCCAAAACTATTGAATCATTTAAACGCAGACAAGCCATTCATTTGCTGAGACAATACCGCACACATAGTCACGATTGTGTCGGCGGCGACAGTTTACACTTGGCGCAGCATACCGATACTGTTTAAGTGATTGATCATCAGGCCTATAAGATAGTTCGACCGT